TCTCTCTCTCTCTCTCTCTCACTCACTCACTCACTCACTCACTCACTCACTCACTCACTCACTCACTCACTCACTCACACACACACATACACACACACACACACACACACACACATTCTCTCTCTCAATGAACAAGACACTTCGTACAAAAGGCACCTTCTTTATTATTTCTCTCGTCACATCAATAAATAATAATATGTTACAGGCAAGTAGGCAGTAGCAGTTCTCATTTTTAAATGAATTAAATAAATGTAAGATAAATAAATAAATAAAATAAATACCTACAGAGCTAGTCCCTAGTTCTTATTCACGACTTTCTTCTTCGGCTTCTTCTGCGGCGCCGGGTCATCGCGACCGCCGCATCTGGAAATGAACGTTTGGCGTTACGAGAATCTTTCTTAGGCGGTTAGTAGGCTGCTCCAATAAACATTGAAGGCAGCTTAAACTGGGACTGGGACCGGAAGCTGTCAAAACCCAGAGCTCTCCTTTTCGTCTTCCGCCGGAGGACTTAGGACTTGGCGCGTGCGGCGCGCGCCTGCTGGGTAGGCAACCTCTCGAGTACTCATACACGCGTGTGCTCTGGCCAAGTTGTTGCCTACGTGGCAGGCGTTCTCCGCGCTCCGAGAGTGAGTGTCTCACCTGGCTGAGCCGTCGAGGCAGGGGGAGTCCGGGGCGTTCCGGACGGCGGACGCCGTCCTGGCGACGGCCTCCTCCACGCGCGCCGCGAGTTGGTTGAGCATCCTGGCCCGGGCGGCACCGGTGCGCCGCGGGGCCGCGACGGACCTCCCGGACTCGCCCTGCATGGCTTCGGCCACGTCGTCCATGGCGGTGGCGTCGTCGCCGGCCTCCTCGTCGTCATTGTCGTGGTGACCGGGCTTGTGCTCCGGCTTCATGGGGGGCTTGTCGTCGTCCTTGTCGGCGTCCATGGTCATGTCCATCTCCATCTCCATGAGGCTGCTCACCATGCCGACGATGTCCTCCAGCTTGGGGATGAAGAGCATGAGGAGCAGCAGCGAGATGAGCTTGATGACGCCCTTGATGACGATCACCTGGAGGCCAAAAGCGCGATGTCAGTCTACAACAGCCGTGAATGAGGCAATAGTGGAAGTTCGTTGTCGCCTGAGGCTGCGAGGGCACCTTGAGGAGGATCTTGAGCGCGGTGTGGAAGTCAGGCAGCGGCAGCTGGGAGACGAGGCTCATTAGGCCGGCGCCGAGCCCCTCGAAGAAGGACACGGGGCTGGTCATCGTGGTGGTGACTGTGGCGGCGCCGTACGGGCTCGGGGCTCCGTACTGCGGCTGAGGCGGAACGGGCGCCCCGTACTGTGGCTGAGGCGGACTGCTGGGAGCCCCGTACTGCGGCTGAGGAGGAATGCTGGGCGCCCCGTACTGTGGCTGAGGTGGAGTGGGCGCCCCATACTGTGGCTGAGGCGGACTGGGTGCCCCGTACTGTGGCTGAGGCGGACTGGGCGCCCCATACTGCGGCTGAGGCGGACTGCTGGG